AGACTCCCAAGGACTTCCTGGGCTTGAGTATCAGGAAGCATTATCCGGCAATTAAGGCAAAAGAATTTGGAACTTAGTATTATCGTGCATGCTATCCACCACATTCCAAGTGAACTGGGACAGTTCTTCCTGGGTAAGGAAACACCAGAAAGCAATAGCGACAGGCAAGAATAAACCGCCCTAAGGAAGGGGAAACGGGAAAAATTGGGGACAATAACATAATCTTCTATAAGTTTTAAATACTTGATCGGATGAATAAACGTAATGCATTAAAGAATAAATGGACAAAATGACTGTCCTCCTTGCTAGAAAGGGTAAATGTTCTTTTCTATGTCCTAATATGCCTATCATGTTAGTTGGTAAACAGGCAATCGCTCAGCAATAACAAAAAGTGACCAAATGTCATTTGTGTTCTGAAACAATTTCATGCAATTTTTATGTAAATTTGCAAGCACTGGCTTTATTAATCAGTCAATGGTGTACAAAGTAGGTTGACATGAGCCTGCCTTAGAGGGGTGCTGAAAGCTCTCTACACCCTGACTGCACAGTCACCAGCAGCTGTGTCAAAAGTCCCCTGAGCTCAGATTACTCCAACCCCCACACTCACACCACCAGCCACGGTCTCCTCACTGGAGCAGGAGTAGAGAATCTATGCAGGGATGCCTACGCCATCTTTTCTCTCCCAGGAGCACAATCATGAAGAAGTCCGTGGAGAGCTCCCCTCACCCCCACACCTATGCCAATCACAGTGGAGTTAGAGTAAGCGCTGACGCCAGCTTGAGGTGGCTTCTGAAAACCATCAGCCTCACTATGTGCAGTGGTATCTGACTCTCACAACTCAGCTTAGTTTATCCCGAAAGGACAGAGCAAGCGGGATTTTAGGTGATCGTGCATCAGGGAACTCTTTCAATCTATGGGAACTATGCAGCACAAACAAACAGGACACCCACAACAGTCTAAAGCTTGAATGAGAAACTTTTGTTCTGTTCTTTATCACAGCATTGCTAGCAGTAGCAAAAGTCAAAGGGTACTGGATAAATCACAGGAGCAATGAGGAGGTTCTTTATATGCCAGTGTAGGAAGATCTCAGGCATGTCAGGTGAAAAGTCAGTGGAGCAGCAGACAGCGTGTATCAGCAGTTTCCAACATATGAATCAATTACCCCTCGGAATACCAAGACCTTTTCAGTTGAATACAGTTGGCTTCTATTGTCACATGTGAAAAAAAGAGTTTCCAAATATGGAAAACACCTTGTCTCACCAATTTTGTTTTGGAAGATTATTTTTTTGGAAATCATGCTAAAAACCCTCAACAAAACAGGGTTGGAGGGAAACTTCCTCAAGACAGTAATGGCCATACCCATCACCAAAATCATTCTTAATGGTGAAAAACTCAAAGAATTCCCTCTAAGATCAGGCACATAGAAAGGATGTCTACTGAACCCACTTCAATTCAAGTATTAGAAGTCCTAGCAAAAATAATCAGGAAAGAAAAAGGTATCAAAGGGATCCAAGTTGGAAAAGAAGTCAAACCATCACTAATTGCAAATGACATAAAACACCTAGAAGATCCTTAAGAAAACACTAAAATGATCCTTGAAACATTAAACCAGTACAGCCAAGTACCCGGCTACAAAGTCAACACACAAAAATCTGTCCCTTGTATAAAACAAATAATGAACTAGAAGAGAAATAGGGTCAAAGAGTCTACTCCACTGAAAATAGTGTTCAAAACACCTAGGAAGTATCTAGGAATCAACAAAAAATGTGACTCATATCATGAAATTGTCACTTATAAAAGATACAGAAGAGGACCTGAGGAAATGAAAAAATATTCAATGTTCAAGGGACAGAAAGAATATTGTCAAAATAGCCATCCTACCACATTCTAAAAATTTCATTCAATCTCCATAAAACTTCTGATGATGTTCTTCAAGGACTTAGAACGATCAATAATCAAGTTTATAAGGAATCATAAAACACCCCAAATAATCAAAGTCATGCTGAAAAGTAAGAAATTGGGAGGCATCTTATTAACAAACTGGAAACTATACTATAAAGCTACAGTGATCAAAACAGCATGGTACTGGAATAAGGACATACACACTGACCAATGAATTAGAACCAAGTACCCAAAGACAAATCCCTAAATCTGTCAACAAATTTTCACCAAAGGAGTCAGGTACGTAAAGTGGAATAAAGATAGCCCTTTCAAGAAGAAGTGTTGGGAAAACTCGATAAACATAGGTTTTAAAAAACTGGATCCAAAACACACACCTTACACAGAAGTCAATTCAAAGTGGTTCAAAGACCTTGAGCTCAGACCATAAAAAAACATGAGAGAAAAATTTACGCAGAACACTTCAAAGATTTGGACCTCAAATGTATCTTCTTAATATGATCTCACTGACAAAGACAACATAAACAAAAATACACAATGGGTATAGCACTAACAAGTGTCTCCATGGAAAAGAACTAGGCTAAAACTAAGAAAGACACCCAATCAAGTGGGAGAAAACATATGTATTCAATTTACCAATAAACATATTTATACTGGTATAAAAATATACCAATAAATATCAATATTGGTATATTGTGTCCAATAAAGAACTCACAAAGTCCAACAACTACGAAAAAAATTTAATTGAAAAACAATAAATGGAGAGAAAAACTGTAAACAAATACTCTCTGAAGGGCTGGAGTGACAGCACAGTGGGTAGGGCATTTGCCTTGCATGCGACCAACTCGGGTTCGATTCCTCCATCCCTCTGACAGAGCCTGGCAAGCTTCCAAGAGTATCCTGCCCGCATGGCAGAGCCTGGCTAGCTCCCTGTGGCGTATTTGATATGCAAAAAAACAGTAACAAGTCTCACAATGGAGACGTTACTGGTGCCCGCTCGAGCAAATCGATGAACAATGGGAGGACAGTCAGTGCTACTTCTCTGAAGACAGGTGATGGTAATACGCACATGAAAAAGTGTTCATCATCATTATTACCACAGAAATCCAGTTCAAGACCATGAGATTGCTCTCATCAGTGAAAATGGCACACATGAAAAGAACTAGAAACAGCCTGTGTTGGCAGGGATGTCATGATAAAGGAATCTTCATCCACTGCTGCTGGGAATATTCTCTGGTTTAACCCCTTCTCAGAAAAGAATAGAGCTGAGAATAAAGAACAGAGACCATTTCTAATCAAGACAAAACAATGCCTTCAAAAATGCCATATGCAGCGCGAGCCACCCCGTGGCCCACACCGCCTAGACTACCTGGTGATGGGCAGCGGCTTGGACAGGTTGGCAAGCGGACGGGTGGGCAGCCGAGCTGGGCACCAGAGCCACCTTGGTGGAGAGCCACAAGCTGGGCGGCACCAGCATGAATGTCAGATGTGTGCCTAAAAAGGTCATGTGGAATACAGCTGAATTCATACACAATCACGTCGATTACGGCTTTCAGAACTGTGAGAGTAAATTCAACTGGCATGTGATAAAGGAAAAGCGAGACGCCTACGTTAGCCACCTGGACAGCATCTACCAAAACAACCTCACCAAGTCCCATATGGATATCATTCGCAGCCACACAGTCTTCACCAACAATTCCAGGCTGACCATCCAAGTCAACAGTGCCCAAATTAAAAAAAAAAAAAAATTGGTATCAGTTTGCTCTGTTATGATTCAATGTAACTTTGATGATGTCTTACAAAATTACTCTAAGAATTTAATGAGTAACCACTATCTGATGCTATAATATTCCCTAGCATTTAGGAAAACCACAGCTATGTGGCATCGGGGGGGGGGGGGGGGGGGCTGAACAGATATATAGGGATTAAGGCCTTTGTCTTGCTAGTAGTCAACCCCAATGCAGTCCAACACTGCACGTGGATGGTCCCTCAGGCACTGCTATGCGTGATCCCTGAGCAGAGCTAGTAGTAAGCCCTGAGCACCGCTGGGTATAGCCCAAAATCAAAAAAGGGGGTGAGGCACTTTTACTGCCCATAACACAGCAGAAAAGGTTGGTAGTATGTTAGTAGAATGTCATTTTAAAAACAGAAGTCACAGTAAAATGTGCTTTCAGGTTAGCAATCATTTATTATATTAACATTTTCACTTATAAATGTACAATTTGCATATACAGGGGAAAAGTAAGTTCTATGGACAAGACAGAATACTAGAGACAAGAAAGCAATCAGAAAAATGGTCAATTCTAGGGGGGGAAAAAACAGAACTGCCTCAAGAGGTGGTAAGGTGAGATAACTTTATATACCAAAAGTGAACACTATTGTAACCACAGCAGCTCAACTTAAAAAAAGAAAGAACTGCAATTCGTGACTAAGTCTACTCAGAAAGGAGAGAGATTACCCAGGGTGACAGTTGATGTGGAAAACAGATGGGGCAGACACAACTGGAAGAATGAATATCTTGTGGTCCAATCCTGGGTCCCAGGGCTTGCTGCTTCACAAAGGATGGAGGACATTTCCACTGGTCTCCCCACTCCTTTGGCTCGAGGGCTTCAAAGAGCAGAACTCAAAAACCGCCACATCAACCTGTGCATAATATGAACGGTGAACTTCTCCAGGAGCACTACTTAAAAGCACACATGGACGTAAAATGCTTACTCCAACCTGAACAAGTCCCTTCCCACTCACCCGTTAATTTAGAATGATCTCAGTGAGGTTATCAGAAGGTTGGTTAGGCACCATAGAAGTTAGGACCAGGAAAATGAAACCAGTCTTTCTCATTTAATCCAGCCCACCATTACATCCAATGTCATCTTCATATCTTGTTTTGTATCAGCCTAAGTGACACTGAATTTCCTAATTCAATTAAGGCTGCCCAATGAAACCGGCTCCCCTGGAACAGGACTTGGGATACAGGAACACAGGTCCATTCAGTCTGAGGACGCAGCCAGGGCACAGGTGAGGTTTTGCTTCAAGAGCATTTCAGTGACAGAACTCCGTACTTGGCAGTTACAGGAAATCCAAAATCAAAATTAACGCCCCAATGCAACATTAACAAATTTTTAATATTTTGAGTAAAGCATACAGATTTAATGATTACAAACAAAGCCATTCTCATTACAGGAGCTGTGAAATTCTAAAGGCTGAAAGCAACGTTTCAAACCAGTGTTGAACTGTATTACATCTGGCAATTTTCCATCCTGTGAGATAACCAAACACATGACAGTTAAGGATACATTCTTTCGACTGGAAAATCTCTTAAGCATCAAAAAGCCCACACCAAAATTGACCAGAAAAATAGGCCTGTTTATTTAGCATCAGACTTCACTTGGAAATCTGTGTAAGTCTATCAAACATGGAGCTGGTGCACCGGTAACTGCCACAATAAAAAATCTGCTACTAGGGCCACATGGAGTGTGGGGACAGGAACTCTCACTGCGTTCAACTGTCACTGCAAAGAACTATTTTTTGAAATGCGTAGGACATAAAACTGAAACGAGAGGTTTTAAAAAGTAATAGATAAAAAAAGAAACACAACTGAAGTCTGGATTTTTCAGTGTCACACAAAGTTAGGCTCAACATGAAATGGTTTAAGCATCTCTGTGACATCCGGAGAGGAATAAACAGGCTGAGTAGTGGCACCTAGAGCATGTCACTCCTATCCTTAGGCAATCATTTCCCACGCACAAACTCTCTCCCAAAGCCCAGGGCTGACACTCCAGCACACCACCCGAGGCCAAGTGCTCCCTGTCACACAGAGAGCTCTTGGTGCCAGCCCGCACCAACAGGGAATCTTCCCTTCCCCTGCTTTCAGAAGAAGAGGAAAAAAGCAGCGTAAGCACCGTGCATTTCCTGGCAGGCCCGAAACATCGTGCGGTGACTGTAGCTCCCATTCCACTTTCCTTACCATTCCTTTGTTACTATCTAAGCAAGGAGAAAAATAAGCTCTAAGTAAGTAGGCTTAGGAGACGGTAAAAATAAATAATCACAACAGACAGTAGCCAGTGACTAAAGCAAATCTTCTGCACATCCTTGTAACAGTTTTCCTCCTCCAAGTTTTAAAGGATAAGGTCCTAATTTGAGGCTCAAATAAATTCCTCATTTGGGGCTTTTCTCAAAGACTGCTATCAAAAGAAATCAAGTAGAAAGCAAAGAAGTGTGCCTGTACAGGAGGGGACTTCCCCTCCCCTGGCTTCACCCTGAGCAGCAGCCTTGTTCAGGCCAACAGATTCCAGAGGCTGCGACAACACACCCTGGGAACAATCCAACTGGAAGCAACGGTCAGCCCTGATCTGATAAAGTGTGTTGTTAAGCTGAGAGAAATTTTCATTTTTCTTGCCATAATCACTTGGTCGTATCACCAAATACTAAAAGGATCCCTTCAGCACTTCGTGTAACTCTAAACAAACAAAAAAAAATGCCTTGAAAGACATGGATGTTCCAGGAAGAGCTCCACAGGAAAGCCTCGGAGTGAGCCAGGCCGTCGAGGCCTCCGCCACCCAGCCTCGGGGTGGGAACTTCTGGGATTAGTTATAATTACAAGGGCACTACTTTCAGAACTGTTAAACTATTAATTGAAATATGTATCAGGAACATCTTGCAGGTCACATTATTGCACATGGTCTCAGGAGCTATGCACACGTTAGGGGTGAGGAGAATCTAGAAGACCCAGAACAGAGACCCCAGGGCCATGCCCGTGGCCGCTCCTGCCAGCATGCCCAGGGCCAGGTCGCTGTCACTGTCCCGGTACCGCTCACGGATGATGACTTGGTTGGCAGGCTGCTGGGCATACACTCCTGAAACAGAAGAAAAAAACAGACTTGTGAGGAGCAGCTGTGAAACCCAGAATCAGCTGCAAAGATGGCTGGGGTGTGCTGGGGGGCGCTCCTCTCATGGCCCACTTCTGTGAGAGACGCAGGTGGCTGCAGTGAGCTCACCTCAGCTCTTCTTCATCGCACAAGCCTGAGCCTGCTGGGAAAAACCTGCATTTCCTAGATCACACTAAGGGAGGAGAAACAAAATATCAAGATTTTCTCTGGGTTTCCAAGAGAAGTTCAACAACTTCCAACTTCATCTGGTGTTTGTCAGAAAGACAGGCCTTGATGGAACAGGAGCAATAGTATAGCGGGGAAGGCACTTGCCTTACCATTACATTAACCTTAAGTCTCATATACCTTGCCCTTCATTTTTAATCATGAATTCAAGGGAAAAATATTTGTTATAGTATAAATACATTTATATTTGTAAAGTATGACAAACATCTGTGTAATGTATTATATAATCCTCACAACCATATCCATTTCACAGATGGGTAAAAAGTAAGGCAACTAGCTGAGCCACTTAAACCCAGGCCCCAAGGACCGAGCTCCGGCAGCCAAAGACCTCCAGAACTCAACCACAGCCACACTCACGGCTGCTCTCCACATGCTCAGGCCGAGCCTCACCCAGGAGTGAACCTATCCCTGGACATCTCATACCTCACACCACTCACACTACAACAGTAGTATACCAAATTCTATGGTGCTTAAAGTAGAAGGCAACCAATCTTAGAGGGAAAAATGTTTTTTCAGAGACATATAAAAAAGCACAGAGGACTCAACCCTTAACAACATATTGATAATCTCTTATAGAAGCGCTTAATGGCCCCTGGGTGAAATACAACAATCTTCACACTCTCCTCTGAGAAAAGTTTTCTGGAGCATTTTCAGCGATTTATTTAAAACAAACAATACAAAATCAATTATTTCAGTTCTGCTTTGGGTAAGGGATTGGGGCTTGGGATGAAAACATTCAAAATGTGGTGGTGGGAAGGTGTAATAGTGGTGGGATTGGTGTTTGAATACTAAATGTAATCAAATATTGTCAACAACTTTATAAAAATGAAATTAAATTTTAAAAAAGTAAGTCCATCTCTTCAATTTATTCCCAGGATGGGATAATTAACTGCAGCTGTCCTGTTAAGCGGAAGAGTAGAATTTTTCAAACATAATTGTAAAGGATTTTCTATAAATCGGATTCTCTCATAGAGAAAGAATGGCCTCTCCTAGGCAGCCGTAGGTATGTGGGAACTGAACCGAGGTGACTAGAACCAATGTTGTCAGGAGTGAGAATGCTCAGCATGGTCCCAAATACCTCCCAAAAATACTGTTAGGATTCTTAATGGTAATCAAAAGGGGGAAAATGCCTATAGACTGTGAATATTAACTTAATATATGGAAATAAGTTTTATATTCTAAGAAAAATTTCACAGGAATATCAAACACGCCAAATATTGAATATGCGATATGCCAAACCAGTAAATACAATGAGTCTCATTCCCCTGACCCTGAAAGAATCACCACCAATACAGCAGTGTCAAGAAGGACGAGGAAGGAGAGGCTGTTAAATCTCAAGGCCGAACTAGGCTGCCAAAACGATGACTATCTGGACTTTCAATGCACATACACTGGCATCGGATGCATCCGTCGAGGACCTGATGGTACACGCGTGAAAGATCAAGTACAACATCATCACTACAAGAGTAATACACCAGATTCGATGGTGCATCAATCATATCATGCCATTTTCGACACTGGAGAAGAACTGTTCCTTGGAACATGTGACAAAAGAGGCGTCAGAGGTGTCAGTGTCCTTGTCAACACAAACTTGGCCATGAGCATTGATTCATCTGAATGCCTAACAACCCGAATCGGACAATTACACTTGAATAGATGTGGCTCACTGCTGGCAGTTTCTATCTTCGTTGTCTACGCACCAACATCCAATTATGATGAAGGAGAAATTGAGAAGTTCTACGTGGAGCTAGAGAAGTTCTAGAAAGAACACCACACCTTCTACAAGATCATTGTGGGTGATTTTAATGCCAAGATAGGACTGAGAAGATCAGCCAAAGAACTCCACATCAGGACCCATGGCCTTGAATGAAACGAACAGTGTGAGAGACTGTCTGAGTTCATCATGTTGACCAAGACAATCCATGGTAACTCACAGTTCCAGAAGGCCAAATCGAAACGTTGGACACGGAAGTCTCCCAGTGGACAGTTGCACAATGAAACTGACCACATCATATTCAATCGATGGTTTTGCCTGACCAATGCCACTGTTGTCCCAAAATTCCAAACAGGATCGGACCACCGTCTCCTTCCTGAAAAATTCTATTTCGTGGAGCGAGAAGAAAGGGCTGCAAAGTTTAAGAAGAGAACTCCCAGAACGACCACCAACTGGGAGCTCTTTGGCACTATTGCAGTAACATGGGAAGATGCCGTCATTGACAACACTGACAAGGAATACGATCAACTGGTTCAGCACCTCCATGATTGTGCAAGGAACGCCAAGAAATAGCCACAAAAAAGACACCTGTCTTCAAAAACTCTGGAGCTTATTCACCAACGTGGCTTGGCGCGAGCTTCAGGCAAACACAAGTGAACATCCGAGCTTACAAAGCAGTGGAGAGAAGCGATAAAGGAAGACTTCAAAGAGAGAAAAGAGCAGCAGTTCTAGCAGATGCAGCAGATGCCGGGGAAAGCGTTCAAAATGCCTGCCTGTCCTTCGCCAACAAAAAGACCAGAATGACTGCCCTCCAATGTCCTGATGGATCTATCACATCTTCCAGAAGGGCAATGGAGAAGACTATCCATGACTTCTACTCTGATCTCTTCGATAGCCACGCCCACATGCCCAGAAACTAAATTCCGCAGGATGGATATGTCATTCCCAATGTTCTCCCTTCCGAAATCCAACACACCATTTCGTCAGTGAAGAAGCAAACAGCACCTGGCCCAGACAAGGTCAGACCCGCACACCTGAAGAACCTGCCGTCAGTACTCATCAATACACTGGCTCGGCTCTTCACACGTTACCTGTCTGAATGCAAGGTTCCGTCCCAATGGAAAACCAGCAGGACTGTACTACTGTACAAGAAGGGAGACATCCACAACATTGGCAACCATCGCCCGATCTGCCTGTTGTCTGTCGTCTACAAGCTGTTCACTCGAGTCATCCTGAATAGGATTGGCAGAACACTAGATGAAGGAAAACCATGCAAGCAAGCCGGTTTCCGAAAAAGATTCAGCACAATCAACCATATCCACACGGTAACCAATGTCATCGAGGTTTCTCAAGAGTTCAAGATGCCACTCTAACGTTCACTGATTTAAAGAAAGTCTTTGATTCTGTTGACACTGAAGTGGTCATCAAAGCCCTAGCCAAACAGGGTGTTCAAACTCAATACATCAGGATCCTCCATGAGCTGTATTACAGACTCACTACCAGGATCTCACCATTCTACAAGGAAGTGATCATCCATGTCAAGAGAGGGGTTCGGCAGGGTGATACCATTTCACTGTAACTCTTCAGTGCCACTCTCAAAAATGTCATGCGACAACTGGAATGGGAAGGAATGGGAGTAAAGATAGACGGTCAGCAACTACACCGCCTCCGCTTCGCTGAAGACATCATTCTAATTACATCAAACATTAGCAAGCAAGCAAAAAAAAAAAAAAAAAAAAAAAAAACATTAGCAAGCAGCACAAATGCTGGCCGACTTCGACCATGAGTGTGGAAAGGTCGGACTACAGCTGAATCTCACGAAGACAATGTTTATGAGAAATAGTCTCGTTCCTGACATGTTTGCTCTCAACGGAACGAACATCTCTGAATGCAACTGTTATGTGTACCTAGGTTGAGAAGTCAACGTGACAAATGACCTGGCACCTGAGTTGAGCAGGAGGAAGAGAGTGGCTTGAAACGCCTTCAAGAGCATCGAAGAAAAAGCTAAGAGGACAAAGAACCTCCGGCTCCAGGCACATCTCTTCACTTCCACTGTTCTTCCTGCATTAACATACGCCTCAGAGACCTGGGCCCTATGAAAATAAAATGAAAACACTATTCGGGTCTCCCAAAGAGGAACTGAAAGAGCTATGCTTGGAGTATCATGTTTCACTCAAATGAGAGAAAGAATCCAGAGTTCCGACCTCTGTCAACAGTCTCAAGAATCAGGGACATTGTCTCGCTTGCCAAGGCGTCGAAAAGCAGATAGCCTGGACACGTAGATTTGGAGACGACCACTAGGCTAGAGCCGTTACTGACTGGATTCCACAGGATGTCAAAAGATCTCGTGGCCGTCTACCTACAAAATGGTCAGACTTCTTCGTCAAGACCCTGAACGATCAGTTTGAGGCTCTTCGTGTTCCTAGAATGAGCAGACGCCATTGGGCTACACTAGCATGTGTCAGGGATGAATGGAGACATTACTGGCACCCACTCAAGCAAATCAATGAGTAATGGGATGTCAAGTGATCAAATGATTTCACAAGAATAACAGAATAGTGGAGATATTCAAAGCATATGATAGCAAAAAGGAAAAAAAATAACCAAAACTAGGTTTAATCAAGAATATATCATCCAAAAAAAAAAAAAAAAAGAATATATCATCCAAGGTGAAAATATGCAATCCTGAAAAATACTTGCAGAGCCAGCAAAACACTTCAAAGGATGGAATGCAAGTCTATATATGCAAAGGCCCTGAGTTCAGCCCCTGGCATACCAGGCGCAGTCAGGGGTTGCCCTGGGGCCAGTAGCACCGTGATCATGAGCAGCACTGTAGGGATCAGAAAACCATGGACATGCACAGCTGAAACAATGCCACTGTCAGTGGTCACAGGGATCAAAACCACCATAGAGATTATCCACATAGATTAAAAACTGAATGAAAAAATAAGAGAATGGGCTACAGTTCAGCTGCAAAACACATGTTTTCCATGTATAAAGCACTGCACCTGATAACCCACAACTAGGGGGAGGAGTATGATAAGACTGTAAAAGCTTATAGAGCACTCAGGAAAATACATAACATTATAAATCAAATCCGAAATACAGAAGTAATACAAGACTGCAAAGATGAAATTCTATTTTATATGGGTAAAGTAAAAGATGAAAAAAAATAAACTAGGATCAATGGGGTTTTTTTAACATCCATTTTTATGAAAAAAAAAAAAAGTCAAACAAAGCAGAAGAATCTTTTAGTCAATGGAAACTGACCTGAATTAGATTTCCTGAGCAGAGAAACTTCCTCCCCTATTACATGAAAACCAAAATCAACACCACAAGTCAAACACACACTCTCACTCTGGGTGTGGTCAAATCCACAATATGGCCACCCCTGCCTTCCCTGTGACACACCCAGTACCGAAGACCTACTTTTTCCTCTCTGATCACAGAGTTAGCCCCCTCAGAGTCCCCATCTCGTAACAAGTTCTGGGCCCCGGACATACCCCATGTGTCCACCTGCCGACTTCAACATGCCACAGCCTGACCTCACCTCCTTCAACCTTTCTTCAGGCTTCACTCACACAGCACAGTATGAAAGGAACAGGGATGGAAGGAAGGCATGAGTTACCTGCATACGGGTACTGGTAGGGTACAGCATAAGCCTGCCCGTTTGGAGTATAGACAACCTGAGTTCCTGGTGGGTAAGCACCACTGTATGGACCGTAGCCATAAGCCTGCTAAAAAAAAAAAATAATAAACCCATTAGAATCTTAAAACACTAGTAATACATTAAAAGAGCTCCACAGGCCAGGGAGATGGCTCAAAGGGCTAGAAGACAAGCTTAGCATGCAGAAGACCTGATTCAGTTCCTGGTACTACAGCCTCCAAGTGACCCCTAAATACCATACTGGAAATAGCACAGAGCTAGGAGTGATCCCTGAGCATCACCTGGTGTGAGCCCAGAACAAACAAACAAACAAATTAAAGATAAAGACATCTACAGATCACACACCTAACCAAGGATTCAAAATTCAACGTTTTCAAAATATACAACTAGGAAATAAGCCATGAGCATACAGAATCTTTTTTCCAAATTGTCTTTGCAACTTCTTATAACTGTAATTATTTCCAATTTTAAAGTTAAGGAACAGAGAAGCGACTATAGAAATATCTATAGAACACGAAACAACTGGTATTGATGACTGGGACATCTCCATCACTGGTGTTCCATCCATGGCATTTATTTCTTTAGATTTGGTCTTTATTTTATTGTGGGGGGAGGGGCAGTGTCAGGGACTGAACCCAGGCTTCATTCATACAAAGAATGCATTTGCTACAGTCATAATTACTGTTATTTTTTCCAAAGTTAAAGTTATTTTCAATTAAAAAGAGAACTCAACAACTAAAATATATACTACAAATTATCAGTCACTGAAGCAACTAATATTACCATGATTCATATTTCTACCTTAAAGGTAAATGTGAAAAATACGAAACAACTGCTTTGTTTAATGAAAGTTAACAATGACAATAGTTAAGGAAGTGGTTTAGAGAGCATCTCCATTTTCCAACAGTGGCTTTAGGCTTGAGGAACAGACACAGTAGGAGCTCCCTGCATTCACGCGAGGAGGTGCTCCCTACCTCGGGGGTTGGTGTAGCATACGCCGAGTATGGAGGTGGGGACGCAGCCACGATCGTCTCATCGTACATCACTTCTGAGCCAACATAAGTCTGTGAGAGGCAAGTACACAAAAGGCATGTTGTCACAAGCAAGTAAAAGCTCCCAGAATAACACACATAGCAGGTATACCTCCAAGAAGTACACCAAAGGCCCAGAAGCCCGCCCTTAATTCTCAGCCAACCAGGGCAAGGGCCTGCAGATGCAGTGACACACCCTTTGGTATTGGGATGATCCACGTCACTCCAGCAGCGCTAAGGAACCATTCAGGTCCCACTCAGTGGCACCTGGGGTATGACCCAGTGATACCCGAGAGGCCATAGGTGCCAGGGACGGAACTGGAGTCAGCTGCATACAAGATTTATTTGGGGGGGAGGGGCGCACACCCAGCAGTGCTCAAGACTTACTCCTGGCTGCGTTCAGGGATCACTCCCAGCAAGTTCAGGGGACTCTAGGGGATGCTGGGGAATGAATCTGGGTTGGCCACTTGCAGAAAAAAACGCCCTACCCGCTGTTATTATCACTCCAGCCCCAAAAACATGTATTTCTTAACCTCCAAGACATACCACTACCTCTCTGGACCCCTACATATACACACACACACACATACACACACATACACACACACACACACACACACACACACACTTTATTTAAAGGTCAAAAAAGTTAACCTTTTCAATCAGCTTAATCAATGGCTGAATAAATGGTAGTACTCCTACATTATAAATAAATAAATAGATAAATATAACAGCTCCCTGACAGCAATGAACAGCAAATGGCATGCCCACTGCTCCCAACCTTTGAACTAGGAAAATGGGTCTCCCAGAGCATCAGCAGGACATAAAGTACAGCTCTCACTGCCCGAGAAGCCCATGGGCACCCGCTGATCATTCTCAACAATTCTTTACTTGACAAGTTAAAATCCTATCGATGAAAACAGTCACACTCAAGAGATATGTTCTGTTTTTACATTTAAAGAAATACCTGAGCTGGGGAGACAGTCCAAGACAGTCCAAAGCACATGTTCTGCCTGCACACACCCAGGTCAGTACCTGGCACCACAGAGCCCCCAGGCATTCCCAGGTGCAACCATGGTGGATCTGGGCATCCTGGGCCTAGCACTGAACTGCCCGTCGGCTGAGCAAGTATCACCAGTAGAGTCACCCCGTGGCCTCCCGAGAGCACCCAGAACTGGGCAAACAAAAATGGGAAAAAAACCTTTACTGAATTCTTCCCCACTACATGAGACTAGATGTACTCTTTTATAAGGTCCATACGGTGTGGCAGCAGGAGCACAGCAGAGAGGGTGCCTGCCTTGCACGCGGCCCACCCAGCTTCAATCACCAGCATCCCATATACCTGCCAGGAGTGGTCCTGAGTACAGACCTAGGGATCTGCCAGATGTGCCTCCCCAAATAAAATAAATAAATAAAGGTCCAGACCAGGACAGAGGAAGACACCTCCAAGGTCCCCAGCCCCCCAGCACCGGGCGTGACCGTGAAGGACATGCCCGAGCACTGAGCTGCTGGCCCACCCTGTCAATCAAGCATCACTCAGTGGCACCGGGAAGCCAAAAACATGAAACCCACAAGAAAGAACAGTCTAAGTCAGAAGACTGACTGCAGAGGCAGTCGTCCAGCTGGGTGACAGGAAACATCAGCCCAAGCCTCCGCTGTCCCAGTGACCCACTGTGGGTAGAAGCAGAACTTCAGCAAAAATCCCAATTTGTTCGCTGCATAAAGCTGAGATGCTACACATGGAAAGGGCTCTTTGGCCCCTCCTGAGTCTTCCTTGCTTACAAATCTTCATGAGAATTCAAAGTCTTCCAAATTTCTATGAGATATGTTTCCAGAAAGCGATACTGAGACTATGAGGCGGTCAGAAAGCTTCCTCCTGCCCTACCACTGGCAAGTGCAGCCAGTTCCTCACTGTCTTGTGTCTGGTGCACTGCCCATCTGTTACATGTTGCAGGAATGGCCAAACCTTCTCCCACACTACACTTTCCTCATCTCGTCCTTTTCATCTGAAGAGAACAACATGAAAGCAACACTGATGGTAATCACAGGCCACTTACTGTATTTGTTCTGGAATCCTGAAGTGTAAATTTCCAGGCCCTAAAGAAAAGGGAGGGGGGGAGAAAAGAGTACTTAATTTGAGTACTTAAGCAAACAGCTCCCTAACACAATTCTCAAATAGGCTATGGCATCAGAATTTGTGGAAAAGCTTGTTTAAGAGCAGGTCTTCAAGAACCTGTTTGCTCCCCGCCTTCCCATGTGACAGTAATCTCCTGGCTGATACCCCATGGTGGAATCAGTGTAGATTTCCTCCCAGCTGGATCCCAGAATCCTTTACACCTGAACTCAACACACCCACAGGCCCAGCTCCGCATGTCCTGAAGCACATGGCCTAGACTGCTCCATTCATCAAATCTCCCACAGCGCACAGAACCACCTATCACCAAGTAAAGACAGACAAGGAAGGAAGAGTCCCTTCCAGCCTAAGCCTCGGAGACCTCCAGGGGGCCAATTCCAGGATTCGCCCTCTGCACAGCAGGAGCATGACAAACCCAGTGAACTCCCTGAGAGAAAATAGAACCATGGAAGGCTCCATCAACCATCACTACACAGCTCTGTCAACCCTCAGAAGGTGACTTCAGTGACGCCATGGGAGCATGTTTGAGGAGTTCAGAGGAACAAAGTCACAGAAGACAGCAAGCAGAGCATAAGAAAGCATGAGGGAGGAAAGGAGAAAACGACAAGCAGAAATGACAGAAATGAAGAGCGTGGCTCATGAATTAAAACACTCAAAAGAAGCTTGAGCAGAATGACAGCTACTAAGGAATGATCGGTGAGCTCCAGGAAACCACTAGAAAACAACAGAAGAGAGGGTGAAAAATTTGGAAAAAAGCTTGGGTTCTTGCACATGCACAAGGTGTGTGTCCCTGGCCAGAGTCACCTCCCACCACCCCCAGCACCTCTAGTGACTTCTTTAAAGTGCTTTAAGAAAGCACATCCTGATATATATTCAGTACATTTTATATACTACTTTCTAGTAAATTACTTCCATAATCCTTGGGGGAACAAGTAAGTCTTCAGCCCATGCTTTAAGACACAAAAGCTTTAAGCTTGTTAAAAGCACTAGAAATTCAGGTTTCATATATATGTGTGTGTATATATATACATTCCCCTATAATACATGTGTAGTATTTAAAGCATAACCTTTACTAAATATTTTAATACATGTGAACCATACCATGCTTAACTGCAATGTGACTTGTCAGTTCATGCTATACAAAGACGTACTTCAATTCTATGGTTTGTTTGCTTTGGTTTTAATGAACACACAGTTGTGCTCGAGGCTCACCCCTGGGGTCCTTGGGGAACCATATGCAGTTGCAAAGATTGAACCAGGGTTGTTGCATGCAAGCCAAGCACCTTAACCACTGGAAAATCTCTCCAGCATTAACTTCATTTCTTACAATTGTCATTTAGGGGCAGAGAGAAAGTTTAAGACTTACAGGACTTGCCTTGTATGTTGCTGACAGCACCTCACAGCCCCCAAGCATCACTGGCACTGCCGGGTGTGGCCCGAACTACCGAACCCCCGAAAATAAAAACAATAGCCATCTATTCCATAACGCACTATGTGAAATCATAGATTGTTAGTCACTTTCTGCACCTAAAATTAACACTGAAATTCTATTCCTTCATACCTATTTCAAAAACACTCAAAAAATTACATGTAAACCCACATTCACCACAGCACTATTTATAATTGCTGGAAGTGACACAAGTGGATGGATAAAATGGACACAATGAAATACTACTCAGCTACAAGAAAAGATGAAATCTTACATCTTGCTTTAACTAGAACTTGTGCCTGTACAAGTTTTACACCTACACGAACAGAACTTGAGGATGTCAAGGTAAGTGAAATAGAACAGAAGCAAAAAGACAAATACATGATGATCTCATGTTTATTGTAAACGTAACAAAAAAGCACGGGAATGGCAAATGACCAAAACAAATCCAACAGGCCCAGGTCATCAAGACAAAGGACAGGGGTGACCAGGGACCTAGTAATAATGTTACCTCAACAATAAATAATGCTTGTATTTCATCAGTGTTGCCATAAAGGTCTAAAGTGTGTAATGTGATAATGTAACGGAAGTATTCTGTGAAGTAATTATCTAAATAAGGTTTACTTTTTGTCCCATCTTATTTTCTCGCAGTAATATTTAAGATCCACACTCTTAACCTCCGAACATGTAAGGCAGTGTGGGTAATTCTAGTCACCATACTGTATATTGCCTAGAACTTAACTCATCTAGGAGTTTATGCCCTCTGACCAACACTTCCCATTTCTCTCCATAGCAGGGGATCACTCTACTCTTAGTGAGTTTAGCTTTTAGAGTCAACATGAAAATAAGAATAACTGTGTTAGATTTAGTTCTCTTAGCATAATGCCCTCAAGATTGATCATGTTGTTATGAAACACAGCACTCTCATTTGTGTGCTTGCAACCATGACTCATACACATACTTGTCCAGTCCAACCCATGCAACTGTTTAATGGTGACTTCCCTGTTCCCTGATCTGTCTCTTGCTTGGTTATATATTTGGCCCAGAGGACTATGCAGTGTCTGTGACCAAACCAGGGAGCCCGTAGGCAAAGCATGCATAGTTCATTTTCTGCAATCTGCAGGAATAAGGGTGGAAAAAAAGAAAACTGCTGCTAAGACTAAGCAAGTCCTTTTAAAACTCTGGGTTCTATCTGGCAAGAGAGAGTACACTGAAAGAAACTAAACAATATAAAAAACAAACTTACAAACAATCATCTGTGCTTTCCGCACAAAGACTGATGGTTTTCCCATCTCGGCAAACAATCTGCAACATACAGTCTTTCGACTTCCCATCTGGAGGCTGGACATCTATGAAAAATAAGTAAAATAAAGGATAATTGTGTGGCTGTTTTTGTTTTTAAAGGATTTCTTCTTACCTAACTGCTTAGATAAGCCAGAGATCAAAACATTCCCCTCACAAACCATCTTTGTTGTGCTGTACAAAGCCAAGTTCATGAACTGCCACTCTTCTGTCACTGAACACAAGACAAGCAGGTGTCTTCTAGAGGGTAACCCACACGGAGCTGCACAGAACAGCCCAGCAACCCACAGTGAAAAGTGAGACAAGTCTCAGCTAACAAAATACTGATTTCATTCACAAAAAAACATAAATTATATGAACGCTTTCAAAAAATGAAGATCAGGTTTTAGAAATACTTTTGTCAAACTAGAAGAGCTACGATACCTGAGCCTGGTGTAGTTAAGAACCTCAGTAGCTGGCCAGTCTACAGAGACTGACATTTCAAGAACTAATACATAGGGGCGGTGTTATACTATTAAAAACCTACACAAGACACAACACACAGGGAAGGGATACTACAAACGTCGTTGACTACAAGACCCCCAGATGGTAGAATATTCACTCAAGCAGCAGAGCTAATAAACAAAGTGATCTCTGTATTAATTGAAAATAGAAATACCTGTGCTTATGAAAGTATCCTAAAATGAACTTTTTGGGAGGATTATACCTGGAAGTACTCAAATCACTCCTGGTGGTACCTGGAGGGCCATAAGGTGCCCAGCTCAAATGGAGGGCTACCACATACAAAGTATACACTTAATCCCTTAAAGCCACTTTCCCTGCCCACCTTTAAAATGAAACTAAGGGAACCCAGAAGGTAACCACAGAAGCCAACACACCATGGATTTATAAAACTGATTGGAGAAGATCAGGGGGTGGTACAGTGGTACAGCACTTCGCTTGGATATGTGATTCTGGGTCCAATCCCTGACAAAAATATTTTTAGATACTAGAAGATCTCGCCCGCACGGCAAAGCCTGGCAAGCTCCCCGTGACATATTCAATATGCCAAACACAGTAACAAGTCTCACAATGTTACTAGGCCCGCTCTAGCAAATCGATGAACAACGGTAGGACAGTGACAGTGACAGTGACTAGAAGATCAAAGTGCTATGTGTTATTATCAGCAGTTTCTGAGTTATAAAATCAATACCATCTAAGTAGTTCCATCCTTCTTGGGTTTACCAACACTTTTAGCTCCTTCGTTCTCCACCAGAGGAAAGAATATGAACTGATGATTGTACCTCAAATAAGGAAATTTACCTGCACCAACCTACCATAATCTTCGATTCCAGGTGTGAGTACCCTGTGCTGACCTTAATCAAAACAGGAGACGAAAGAACAGAGGGCTCCTACAATGAGAACAGAAGGCAGAAGATGGAAGCCAGTCCACTCACCCCGACACTCGTGCCCTGTGCGGAGGTTGATGCAGTCCACGGGCATGTGGACCTTATCCTCAACACTCTGCCGACTCTGGTCATCGTAGTAGATCAGGTGGCCATCTGACCACAGGTCAAACCAATTCTTCTTCCAACGCTTCAAAATAGTACCTAAAAAAATTAAAAGGGAAAGGGTAGTGTTTGAGTTCAAAGAGCAAGAAACTGTCCTCTAATCACAGGTGACAAGATACAAAAGAAATTTCCCTCTGGACCTGACATACCTACCATACAACTGTCTTGTCCATCAAAACAAACATGTGCGCAGACCCCAGGTCTGAACACACAAACTGGTCAGGACTGCATGCTGCATACTACCAGGAATAGCAAGAACACTACTAACTTAAACGAGCCAAGTCCCAAACATTTCAAAGGGCAATGAAACTTGAATTTTGATTATTGAAACATGTCTAACATTTAATGCTCCAAGAAGAATATACATCTAAACTTTCCCAGAAATATCACTTGCTAGACTGGTCAGAAAGTATTAGACAAAGTTCAAATGTAAACTCAATCCCCTTCTGGAAAAAACACATTTGACTCACTTCTCCCAGATACACTCTTGTCCAGTGCTTAGCCGCCCTAGAGCCCATAGACACATACAAGTCACCAACGCCACGCCCTATCCTGCACCTTGTATCCATCTTACTGTCTCATGAGTCTCTTATCAGTTTAAAGAACTCCTCCTTTGAATATTTCACTTGTCATTCATTTTCCCTGTCAGCCAGAGGGAAATTTAAATGCCCAGTTTCAGCTCTGAGTCCTACCTGTCCCTACTTCATCTCCAAACATGGCCCACACAGCCATCTTCATTCCTACAGACTCTCCCTACTTGGGGGACTATGCACAGTTCTCACTCCACACACCTCTATGCTTCATGTCGGACACTGGCGTAAACCAAATGTGCAACACATCAGCTTTTCCAATGTCTTTGTTTCCACTGAGCACCTTCCTTTGAGAGACCAAACTGATAAACAAGTACCATCCAGCATCCACTGGGCTGGCAAGCCTAATCTGTGCGGACACCACCAAACAGAGCCAGCCAAATGCTGAGATCGTAGCTATTGACATGAGCAATTCTGACCAAGCCCCTCTCCTTCGTTAAGTGCTGGCCACAGTCTGCCAAACGCGGTTGTCCTGCAGAGCATATCTCTGGGGACTGAACTCTGATCTATGCAAATGCTGCCAAGCAAAGGAGCCACGGGAACAGCTTTGCACACACACACCCAGGTGTGTCTCTACAGTGACTACCCAGTTGACCACAATACACCTCACTCCATTTTATTTCCTCTGCTCTCAGCAAAGAAGGAAAGTTATCCCAAGCTTCAGGAGACAGGACCAAAAAAAAAAAGACTAATTCTTCTGACACACCCTATGGAAAGAATTGCAGATGAGGACCCACTTGGAAGTCTCTTCATCTTAATGTAAAGGGCACCCATTTTTTATATATCACCAACCTAGCGTCTATGTAGGATAGGAGAACAATGACTGTTAAAAAAAAGTATTTGCAAGGGTTAGAGTGGAGAAAGTGTGCCCTCAAGGGTGAAGTGAAAGGCCAGAGTGGGTCAGCGGGTCACATGCTTGCCTTATACACAGCCAACCTGGGTTCGATCCCTGGCACCCCACATGGTCCCCTATAACCTGCCAGGAGTGATCCCTGAGCACAGAGCTAGGACTAAGCCCTCAGCATTGCCAGTTGTGGCCCCAAAACAACAACAAAAAAAGAGTGAAGTAATAAAAACCAGACACCACTGCAAGATTAGGAGTTACAGCCTCAAGGCCTAAGCAAAGTTGTCACCGCCCCCTGACCATCTGGGCAAGGGAGAATCAAAAAACCAAGGACAAGGAACCTTACACAAAGATCAGGGTTACAGTCAAGTATATCAGAGCTCTTACTTCGGAGCTTAGAAAGGGACAATGCTGAAGTGAGACAGACCCAGGTGTGAAAAAAGGCTTGCCACCCAGAGGTGACAGCAGAGCAAGCCACCAGGTAGCACTGGCAGTCACTGAACCTTCACTTCTTCAACTGGAAACTGGAATAATGCAACCTAGTTCACAGAGCTATAGTGAGAATTGCTTAATACATGTAATACTTGGGTAACAGTAACAAGAACAAGCCTTATAAAAAACAGCGTTCTTCCACCATCCAGAGTATACAGTCCAATCTTTACAGCTCTAGTCTCTAATAGAGCTAAGTTCTGAAGACATCCCAGAAATACAAATTCCTACCTGATAACAGACAATACGCAAACTGGCTAGGTCTGATTTTTTGCTGCAGCCAAAGTGACACAGTAGTGTCTTTCCCCTTCTCTCTGCTCTTACCAGGACAGCAGAATAATCTTCTCACTCTCTGACAGCCAGTTACTCCTGCTTCAAAACACAGTGTGGGGCTGAGAAAATAGGTCAAAGGGCCGAAGCTCATCCTCTGTACAAGGGAGCCCCAGTTCTATCACTGGAGTGGAGGGTCTCTCAGGCTCTATACTGGGAGAAGCCCCTCAGCACCCTCAAGAATGGTTCAAAAATGAAACTCTATGAACCAGCATCATACGGCATCCTGCGATAAGCATATTACATAAATGGTAAGTCACAGAGTTAAGACTAAGAAAGTAGATCTCAATCCCATTAAAAAAAAAAAAGTGCTTTTCTCCAGAGTCCTTTGAGAGATAGAAAAGGTTATGCTTAATTTACAATCATTCTCTCAAGTCATGATCATGCTCATGATCATCCTGTTGTTCGTCGACTGCCTCGAGCAGGCACCAGTAACGTCTCCTTCACCCGAGCCCTGAGATTTTAAAAAGTGCCATATTCAAGGCTCTTCCAGGGATAGGAGAATGAAACCCATCATTGTTACTGGTATTTGGCATATTGGGTTCGCCACGGGGAGTTTGCCAGGCTCTGCCGTGTGGGCAGGTTACATTCGGTAGTCAGCCAGGTTGTCCAAAGTAAGAATGAGATAATAAGATGTCGCGAGGCCCCTCAAGTCATACCTTCATCTAAAGATTTCAGAATTTCAGACTCTCAGTCCAGACTCAATCACCATTGTGGGAATTAAAAATGTTATTTCCACTGGGGTGATGTGGGAGAAATTAAGTCACAGTAGGAAAATTGAGGAGCATTATTTATTATCTTTCTCAAATAGTCTATCATATAAAAAAAAAACCGTTATTTCCACAAAGAGAGTAATTCCTCCCTGACAGAGGATTAGTAAAGTTCAGTCTGACAACAGACCTTCAACTCAGTCTTAATAATAAAACATGCTATAAGAGGAGAAACAAAGAGAGATTAAGACCAATTCCTGGGTCCTATTAACATAGCAACTGAAGAGTTTTTTCTGTCTGCGGAAAGAGATTTTCCAAAGCTTTAAAACTTTCCAAGGGGACCGTGGGGACTGCTCCAAGGCTTAGAACACCTGCCTTGCAAGCATCAAGCTACAAGTTCAAGCCCAAGGCCCAGTGCTTGTACTTACTCTGTCGCAGCAACCACCCGCTCTTCACAAACGCCATCTTTTTATCCTGCAAAAAATAAAAAACAGGCAAGTTCTATTTTTATAATCAAAGAATGGACCACCTAAAGCTGATTCTACTCAAAATACTTCTGACATCAAAATTAGTTATTTGGAAGTTGGTTTTTTTTTTTTTTTTGCTTTTTGAGTCACACCTGGCGATGCTCAGGGATTACTCCTGGTAGTACTCATAAGGGATACCGGGGATCGAACCCAGGTTGGCCACGTGCAAGGCAAATGCCCTACCCGCTGTGCCATTGTTCCAGCCCCAATTATTTGGAAGTTTTGAAGACTATGGGCCACTTCATTTTTCAACTTTCATATACTTAGGTATTGTCTTTGAGACACTGAAGTTTAGAAAGTAGCAAAATGGAGCAGCAAAGCCCAAGGAAGCACTTCAAAGAAACAAATGAGCCTTCCTCATTTAATTTTTCCCATGTTGACTGTAGCTGAAATCTCACCTTTCCCCAAACTTCTAGAAAACAGTTCCAACCATCCTTCTGGAGTCCAGATAAATGAGTTGCATAAGCCAGCCCCTCCCCTCTCTCACAGTAAACATGAACAGAGACACAAACTGCTGACCACGGGGAGACCACCCCAAGTGGGCACAGAATGGGTTTTCGTTTGTTGAGTTTTTGGGGGGGTGGGAAGGCCACACCGGAAATGTGCAAGGGTTACTTACTCCTGGCTCTGTATTCAGCAATTACTCCTCTAGGTGCTTGAGGGAACATGTGTGTGGGAAGCTAGGGATCTCACCTAGGACAACAAGGCAAGTCCTACCCATGGTACTAGAACTCCAGCACCAAGTTGGCACAAACCAGGGAGCAACACAGTCACTCACTCAACCCCTCAGAAGTCTGGCTGCGATGCAAAAATGATAGGTCTTATTAAATTTACTTATATTCAGTCACAAGGTGTATCTGGTCTTGCAACCAAACAGCACAGAGCCAGGTACAGCCCCAGTACTAGGAAGTGTAAGACCTAGCCCCACCCCACAAGACAGAGTGGCAGATAAGTCCTTCCAGACCCAAAGTTTCCCCGCCATCTGATTATTAACTGTGGATAAGCAACTGTCATTGCCAGACACTGTGTGTTTTCTTCGGTGCCTGTCACCTTGATGTAAGGCTGGGTTTCCTGTATGTATTTTTCAGGTATTCAGAGCTCAAAAGATGTCAACAATAGAAAACAAACTACAGATGTCTTGAGAATTGGATCACTTGAGTCAAAAACTGGAAAGAAAAAGTACACCTAGAGACCAATAGTATTTCATTAACAAGCCCATATAATATAGTTTTAAACTATTAGGGAAAGAGAATAGTAAATTACAAGGTAGGACGAAACTTAAGGTGAAATTAGTAACTGAAACTTGGGTTTTTAAAAGGGTAATTCTTCGACTGTCTTAAGCAGCTTCTTATCGGTGACCATCCAGTCAACCTTCAGTCATTACCTGGAACAACCTTACAGTACTCTGATACTGCCTGAAAGGACAAAGCGCCCTGTGAAAACGAGCTGGTCAATTTCAGAAGTGAACAGCTCCAATGCTGTAGCTAAGAGCGAGAGAGATAATAGAGCCAGTAGGGGATTTGCCTTGTACATGGCCAACATGAATTCAGTCCCTAGTACCCCTACAGTCCCCCAAGACTGCCAGGAGTGATTCCTGAGTACCCAACCAGGAATAAGCCCTGAGTACCACCAGGTGAGGCCCCTCAAAAAATTAAAACAACAACAACAACAAAATCACTAGACCCCTGAGTTTTCTCCCCAGCCTATTTTTGTTTTTATATTGGGGAGGAACCTAGTATATTTTTAAGAAACCAAATATCATGCAGTATGATTTTTGATCATTTACTTGTTAAAATTCAAGAACTTCAGATTGCAGGCTAGAGAAAAAGACATCCATTCAAATCCTGATTCAACCACTGGTAAACTATTAGGAGCGAGTTCTGTAATATTTTCCAAGTCTTAATTTCTTGACCTACAAAATGAGAATAGCAACACCTACTTAACAGGATCACTGCAAAAATTGGGTAAAATTAATGTGGGACATAATGCCTGGCAATAACTAAAATACCTGCAGCAATTATCAGTACGATAATCACTCTCAGTGACTTAGCTAGTCACATGATTATTTTGCCCAAAACAAACTAGAAGTACATCAGGCTACTTCTCAAATTACTTCAAAGGTATGGTCAGACAGTTTGTCTTTGAGAATCAAAATTTAAACTCCTTTCCTAGGGCAGGGAAAATAAGTCAAAATAAAAAATAAGGGAAAAAAAAAAACCCTTCATAACTAATTTCAACATCTCACTGTTTCTAACCTCAAACACATCTAATGCACAAATTACTACTTTCCAATAAAATTTAAGTCATACTGTTTGTCTCGGGAGGATTAATAAAAAGCCAGCAAACTAGTTACAAAATAGTCTCATTATCCACAAACGGAGAGCCCGGCAAGCTATCGAGAGTATTCGATATGCCAGACACAGTAACAACAAAGTCTCCAATGGAGACGTTACTGGGCCCGCTCAAGCAAATCGACGATCAACGGGAGGGCCTTTACCTTTACCTTTACCTTTATCCACAAACCAATAAAACAAAAACAAAAGCAACTTAAGAATGTAAACCACAGTCAAATTATTTTATATTTTCAATTTTTTTTTCTTTTTGGGTAACACCTGGCATTACACAGGGGTTACTCCTGGCTCATGCACTCAAGAATTACTCCTGGCAGTGCTCTGGGACCATATGGGATGCTGGGAATCGAACCCAGGTTGGTCACGTGCAAGGCAAATGCCCTACCCACGGTGCTATTGCTCCAGCCCTTTCAAATCATTTTAAAGGTGAACTCATATCATTTTAAAAGCACAAAATCCACAAGGTTTTCATGAAGAAGTACAAAGAATATTGCCTTTGGACTCTGATGGTTTTGAGCAAGAAGCCTACGATGCCTTTTACTAACCAGAATGACTATGCAGGACCCTAAACCCCATGCCTCACTTTTCTTACCTTGACAAGACACCCCAAGTTACTTTCAGAAGGTCACTGTGAGAATTCTAGGTCCAAAGAGCTCTGTAGTAGATGCATAAAAATAAGCACCACTTAAACTGTTCCAGGAACAGCAATTCAGAATAACCAGTTTACAGAAGACTCATTAACAAAAACCTGACTCCTCAGGGCTCTCTGGATTTTATCTGTGAACGTTACTTCCTCAGGAAACAGTATTAAGGACCATGTGAAGCACCAGATGTACACCACAGGCAACAAGAGGGATTAAGCAACCCAGCACATTGCCCAATTCCTGCTAGCAACTACTCACCAAAAAGCCCCACAGACGCAAGCATCCAAGAGCTGACAGCTAAGATGACAGAGGTAAGAAAGTCAAGGAGTCCAACTTTCTGTTCCAGTGTTCAAACTCAGAACCAAATAATGACTAATAAAAATATTACTTGGTCTACTTATTTAACACTTATTTCCCAGCTTTACTTATTTGTAACTGATACAAGTACTGTGTAAATTTAAGGTGTAATGTATCAGCTTGCCTCTGATATACTGTGAAACAATACTGCAATGTTTCACCCAACATTGTGGACAAACATAAGAAAAAAAAAATTTTTTTGAGAATTTTTAAGATTTACTCTTAACTTTGAAATATGCCATAGAGCAGTGTTAACTATTCTTATCATGTTGTACAGTTTATCTTCGGTACTTATAACTGGAATTACTTAACTACTCTGCTAAATTCCTCATCTTAACAACCCAGTTTACAACCTCTAGTAACCACAAACCTTATCTCTTGGAGCTGAAGCGATAGCATAGCGGGTAGGGCGTTTGCCTTGTACATGGAACACCAAGAATAACCACTGTGCCTTGCTGGGGTGTGACCCAAAAAGAAAAACAAAACAAACAAACAAACAAAAAAAAACACTAAAAACCTGATCTCTTTTCCATAGTCTGATATTCTTCAATCAGATCCCACATATATAAAGTCGAACTATTTGCTTTTTGTCTCTCTCTTACTTATTCCACTTCACATACTGTCCTTCCTCATCATGGCCATCCATGTAGTCACCAATGGGGCAGGACTTCCTCATCGCCTCTGGCGAACTCACATTCCCAGTAGGTACACGTCCATGAACGTACAGTTTCTTCACACTTTCCTTGCTTACAATTGGTTGCTTCGGAGCTTTGGCTACTGTAAATAAAGCTGCTGGGGTGGTGGGATATCTTCTGAAATCACTGTTTTCACGGCCTTTGGATAGATTCCTGGAACTGGAACTGCTGGATCCTATGGTTAACACTCTCAGCAGTTTATTTTATTCTCTGGTTACTGACACAGAGTAAGCACCAACAAATTTTTGGCATCCGATTGAAAAAAAAAAAAAAGGCAAGAGAGGAAAGGAGAGAAATCAAGAGTGGCAATCTGGGACATAAAACAAAGCTCTGCAAGAAGAGAAAGAAAACTTCCCTGATGGAGGCTGGAGCAATAGCACAGCGACCGGGGTTCGGGGTTCGATTCCCAGCATCCCAAATGGTCCCCCGAGCACCGCCAGGAGTGATTCCTGAGTGCAGAGCCAGGAGTAACCCCTGTGCAATGCTGGGTGTGACCCAAAGAGAAAAAAGAAAAAGTAGGCAAGAAAACTTCCCTCTCCAGGCCCATGTACCAGGACCCCCAGATGTCTGCAAGCCCCAACTCAGCTCCTGAGATCTCCGGGGGGAAATCCACACACAGCGGTGCTGACTTCCCCAGAAACGAAGCCGCTGAGCTGTGACAGGTCCCTTCCCCGTCCCCCAAGTCCCCTAGGCGACAGGACCTCCACCCCGACCTCCACCCGAAGGTGGTGCAGGCCAAGAGGAGCTCAGCCAACACCGCGGCCTTGCTCGGAACTGCACGAGTGGGGGTTGGGGGAGAGATGTTGGGATACGCCACAGCTGTCCCCACCAACGTCCAGCTCCTCCAGGCCGCAGGAACCCGGTGACAGAAGCAGGGCCACCACGCAGAGCAAAGCCCTGGCACCTGCCGCCATCCGGGCGTTCACCGGGCAGGGGGACACGCTCCATCCCGCCGCACTGACCCCCTCAAAGCCCACAGGGGAGCCAGGACGCAGGGTCACCCGGCCCGGGGCTCGGAGACTGAGCAAGAGCGATGCCCGTGCATGGTCCCCCATGCCCAGGAACCCGGAGCCCGTGCACGACCCCCAGGGCCAGGCAAGGCGGTGCCCCCAGGGCCAGACGCCGGACCCCGCGGAGCCCCCGCCCCCGCCCGCGGAGTCCGGCAGGGGCCGCTCCGACCCGGACTGACCCAGGCGGCGTCACGGTGGGCGGTGGCCCAGTGTCCGGGCGGCCAAGGAGGACGAGGACGACCGACGGGACGAGCGGGCCGGGGGCTCCGGACGCGCCAGGGGGGCGGCGGGGTCGGACCAGCCCGGACCCAGGGCTGCGCTCGGGGCACCGGGCCGCGGAGTCTCGGGGCGGGCAGGGGCGCCCGCGAGCAGAGCCGCGCGGTTCCAATCGCCCGAGCCCCCCACGCCCGAGGAGACGCTCACCTAGTCCCACGGCGGCCACCGGCGAGGGCCGAAACGGAGGGGACGGGCGAGCGACGCGGCTGCGACTTCGACACTCACGCGCCGCGGCCGAGCCTCGGTGACGTCACCGCGGGGCGCGCGTGCGCAGAGCGAACGCCGAAGCGGGCCGAGAGGCGGGGGTGCGGCCCCCGCGCCTGCGCAGTAGCCGCCGTGGCGGCGAGGGCGGGGTCTAAGCCCCGGGGGCGTTTGCGTTTACAACTCAAATTCACTACTAGCCTTGATCCTGGACCGATAAAAAAAATTGTTCGCGTTTCCGTACCACTCACTGCTGCGCTTTATTCCTTTTGCCATAGCTAATAAAAGAAGCCAGGGATCCTTAGAGAAAATGCAAGTTGAGCTGAGGCCGGAAAGGACAAGCTGGACCTGGCTCTCTGCCAGGAGCAAGGACGTGCGTGCAGGCATGCCAGGGGAGTTGGGGCTCAGAGATGGCCCTGCAGGAGCATCCCTGACTGAGACTGCGACCATTTCAGCAACAGTATAAATTAAATACTATTCTATAATAATTTAGAGTATAGAAGTGTCATTCTAATATAAATAAGTGACTAAACGAACTTGAATAAACCCTTCTTTAAAAAAAAAAATATTGAATCACCGTGAGATAGTTACAAGCTTTCATGTTTGGGTTACAATCACACGATGATCAAATATCCCTCCCTCCACCAGTGCATATTCCCCACCATCAATATCCCTGGTATAACCACCCCCCTTCTCACCCTCCCACTGCCTCCATGGCAGACAATATTCCCCATACTCTCTCTCTACTTTTGGGCATTATGATTTGCAATACAGACACTGAGAGGTTATCATGTTTGGTCCTTTATCTACTTTCAACACACATCTCCCATCCAGACCAGTTCCTCAAGCCATCATTTTCTTAGTGATCCCTTCTCTATTCCAGCTGCCTTCTCCACTTTGCCTTCTTACAGGTGTAGACTGCAAAAAAACTCCTGTGAGCTGGGAAGAAAGCTCAAAGGGGTCTGTGCAGGGCCCCAGGTTCCATTCCCAGCACGCCTCCCCACAAAGCACCATCAGATGTAGCCCTGGTGACCCAGTATCAATGGGGACCTCCCCTCAGATAAATAAGGGGGTTGGGGGGGGGGGGCGGGGAAAGAAACATCCTACTGCTGTTGTGCTGTGAGAAATGTTTTCGCTCTGGGAAAATACTGAGCCAGTAGCGCAGAGGCTTGAAGTCAGCAAAAGAGTAAAAAGCTTTGCCGTGAAGATGCAGTGAACCAAGGCCAAGCCTCTTTTATGATGACGCCAGTCGTTGGAGGAAGGAAACAGAGACAGAGTGCACAGCCTGACCTTCGCGCCCGAAGAAATGCTCTCTGCGGTGGAAGGGAATCTAAGCAATCCCATGTCCTTGCCCTTTTCCACAAAGGATAACATCTGACCACAGAATAAGAGATCTCCGTTCACGTTACTTATGACGCTCTTCCTTTTTCTTGCTACTGGGCAGTGCTTTTAATTTCTGCGAGAGGAACCATGTGGGTTCTCCTGAGCTTGTTGCCCATCTACACAGGCTGTAATGGAGACAGAAACTTCAGAAGGTGAAATCAGTATTCGTAGTAACCTGACGCTGCTTTTCTGAGCTTAAATCCTCATTTGACTCCCAATAATCTGTTTAACAATCTTCTCTTTAGATGGGTGACTACTTCAGTCCACACAGAGGAATTCAGGTTGATTATTCTTCTCCGAAAGTGTCGATCTTTAGCCTCCAACTCCAAAAAATGAGCTGTGGCCATGACTTCCTCCCAGAGACATCATAGGGAGATAATAACGTTGGGGTACAAAACACGGATAAACGTGATTCAACTATGTGATACATGTTAACATCAACAGTGGCAAATCATCTTAATAGTATGTACCCTAGGGCCTGAAGTGATAGTACCAAGGGTACTTGCCTTGCACACGGCAGACCTGAGTTCAATCCGCAGCATCCTGTATGGTCCCCCAAACACTACTAGGAATGATTCCTGAGTGCAGAGCCAGGAGTACCCTTTGAGCATCACTAGGTATGACCCCAAAACAAACAAAAGTAGTAGTGCCCTTGATAATAGATAATGCAAATTATACTTTTGTGTGGTCTTCTTCCCCCAAACAGCATAGCCCAAGTCTAATCATGAGAAAAGTATTACAGTTCCTAATTAAGGTTTATTCCATAAATTCCTTCATGAGTACTCCCCCAAAACCATGACAGTCAGTGAAAAACTGGGAAGAAGAGCTAATGATACCACGCAAAAGGTTGGAGCTCATGCTTTCACAAGAGAACTTCAGCTTCCATTCCCAGCACTACACGGCCCCCCAGCCCAGCTGGGAGTGACTCCTGAGCCTTGCCAGGCATATCACCCCCAAAAAGAAATTAAAAAAAGGAAAGAATGAGAAGTTGTTACTTGTGATATCGGGTCCTAGATGCATTCTGGAGCAGAGAAAAGATGTTGAATTTAAAAATATCTAAGTTCTCTTTCAGTATCTATATTGCAAATTATAATGCCAAAAGGAAAGAAAGGGAGGGAGGGAGGAGAGAGAGAGAGAGAGAGAGAGAGAGAGAGAGAGAGAGAAGGAGAAGCACCTGTCATAGAGATAGGCTGGAAGTGGGGGGTGGGGTGATGACAGGGAAATTAGGGATACTGGTTCTGGGAAATGTATATTGGTGGAGGGATGGGTGTTGGAACAATGCATGACTGAAACCTAATCAAAAACAGCTTTGTAAAGGTCTATTTCACAGTGCTTCAATTAAAAAATAAAAATAAAAGGGGCTGGAGAAATAGCACAGCGGGTAGGGCGTTTGCCTTGCACACAGCTGACCCAGGTTCGAGTCCCAGCATCCCATATGGTCCCCTGAGCACCGCCAGGAGTAACTCCTGAGTGCAGAGCCAAGAGTAACCCCTGTGCATCGCCGGGTGTGACCCAAAAAGAAAATAATAATAATAATAATAATAAATAAATAAAAATTAGTAAGTTCCAAATGAATTCTTGATTTTAGCTCATAGTAATTTTAATACCAACAATTTTGGTGTTAGCATGTAAGATGCTGACATTAGGGGAAACTGAGGAAGAATCCCTATAACTTTTCTATAGATATGTAATTATTCCAAAATTTTAAAAAATACTTTTTAAAAATATATGTGTTAATTATCTGTATTGCTAAGATTTGAAGATGCCTTTATATATTTGGGGACTCCCAAGAAGTACTTGAGAGTGGAGAGACCCTTCCCAATAGTCAGGTCAGCTGTTGGATATAACAGCTTTGCAGTTCCCCCATGCATGCTAGGCATGAGATCCAGGGTTTTGAGTTCTCCTTAACCCCTTAAAATGCTTTTGTGAGACCTCCCAGGGCAGGGTATGGATATCCACCAGGTAAGAGTCTGAGGAACCCTCCCAAATCTGTGAAAACTCCTGAGATTTGTACACTTTTCCAGATGGAGAGATATTTTATTGATCTGAGCCCATTGTTTGCACTTAGAAGGCCTGGGTTTGCTACCCAGAACTGGATGGTCCCCTGAGCATTACTGCGCATGATCCTCCCACAAAAGTGTGGAGCCAAGAGTAATCCCTGGAGTACAACACATAGTCCCAAAAGTAAAATTAAAACCAAAGTGATTTGCTTACTTTTCTTTTTCTATTTTTTTTGTGGTATTGACCCAGCAATACCACTCCTGAGAATATATCCCAGAGAGGCAAAAATGTATAGTCGAAGTGACATCTGCACTTGTTTGTTCATTGCAGCACTCTTTACAATAGCCAGAATCTGGAAAAAACCTGAATGCCCAAGAACAGATGACTGGTTAAAGAAACTTTGGTACATCTACACAATGGAGTACTATGTAGCTGTTAGAAAAGATGAAGTCATGAAATTTACATACAAGTGGTACTACATGGAAAGTATCATGTTAAGCGAAATGAGTCAGAAAGAGAGGGATAGATATAAAAAGATTGCATTCATCTGGGGGACATAAAGTAACAAAATAGGATATTAATACCCAAGAATAGCCGAGATCAGTACCAGGAGGATTACTCCATGGCTTAGAGGCCAGCTGGCACTCTAGGGGAAAGGGCAGCTCAGATAAAGAAGGGAACAACAAATAAAGGGTGTTTGGAGGATCCTCCCAGGAGGGAAGATACATGTTAAGGTGGACTATGGACTGAATATGATTGCCATTCAATGCCTCTTTTGCAAACCACAACACCCAAAAGGAGAGAGAGAACAAAAGGGAATGCCCTGCCACAGAGGCAGTGTGGGATGGGGGGATGGGTGTGGGAGGGATACTGGGATCCGTGGTGGTGGAAAATGAGCACTGGTGGAGGGATGGGTACTTGATCATTGTATAATCGAAACCCAAGCACAAAAATTTGTAAATATACAATTGTACCTCATGGTGTTTCACTAATAAAAATTTTTAAAAAATGTTATTTGCTCATTTTTCTTTTCTTTTTTTTTAATTTATTTATTTTTTATTAGTGAAACACCATGAGGTACAGTTGTAGACTTACAAGTTGTTGTGCTTGGGTTTCAGTTATACAATGATCGAGTACCCATCCCACCACCAGTGCCCATTCTCCACCCCCACCCATCCCAGTATCCCTCCCAACCCCCCATCCCCCATCCCACCCCGCCTCTGTGTCAGGGCACTCCCTTTTGTTCTATCTCTCCTTTTGGGTGCTGTGGTCTGCAGAAGAGACATTGGGTGGCAATCATGTTCGGTCCATAGATTACTTTCAGCAGGCATCTCCCATCCTGGGCAGATCTTCCCAGCAGCATTTATTTGTCTATCTGAGCTGACTTTACCCCTGGAGTGTGCGGCTGGCCTCTAAGCCATGGAGTGAACAACCTGGTATTTATCACAGCTGTTCTTGGGTGTTAGTCTCTTATTTTGTTACTTTATGTTATCCAGATGAATGCAATCTTTCTATGTCTGTCCCTCTCTTTCTGACTCATTTCGCTTAGATTTGCTCATTTTTCATTATACAAATTACAGATGTATAGACACACATACTTTTTTAAACTTAAAAACACATTTG